CAGCAAATGCTGCATGTGCGACTATGTCCGAAGCGGACTGGTGTGAAGCACATCTAGAGAGTAACGTGTTTCTGCCCAGCGCCATTGTGCAGTGTTTTCTCTGCACGATGGCACTTGGCCAAAGACCAAGAAAGGGAAGTGGGGCTGAAAATTCTGCCTATACTCCATGCTAAGCTACATGTAAAGGTCTCCCCAGAGACACTAGGGGGCCATTTTGGACAGACAGAGAACTTCTGGAAGGACAGCATGCATGCAGTGATTTTCAGGATCCCGGGTCTGTTGTGATTTTGCTTATTGTGATTATGGACTGAGGTACCCATTTAGTCCTAATACGACCAGAGATAACACATTGTGAGAGAGATGAAAAATGACATGTAACACTAACTGTATGTTTTCCTCCAAGGGGCTTTTTTCGATTTCTGCTGCATAAGAGAAGCTCAGGGGAAAGTGAGAGTCAGGTAAGTTTGAGGAGGAGAAAGTACTATGGCCAGTGAAAGCAGGGGAGATGCAGAATTAATATTTCCCTTTCTGTTTCTAGGAGGGCTCTTTCGGGAGAAGGCGGCCACTTTGACATAGGGATATGTATAGGCCTCTCAATGCCACATGCAAGGAAAATATGGCACAAAAGCTACATGACAGGGAGTCTTCTGAGGAGGATATTTCTCCATCCCAGCAGAAGGCCCAAACTCGTCATCCAGAGCTCACTGAGGAGGCTGAATCTTTACCCCAGGAGACCCCTGCTCAGCATCCACAGACCCCTGAGGAGGTTGAATCTTTTTCACCCCAGGCAGAGGCCCAGACTCAGCATCCAGAGCCCACTCAAGAGGTATAACCACCTCCACTTCAGCAGGAGGCTCCACCTCAGCCTTCAGAGGCCCCTGAGGAACTAGAATCTCCAAGTCCTCAAGAGGCCCTCGCCCGGCCTTTAGAGACACTTAAGGAGCTTGTAGTTCGATCAGTAGCACATCATGGGGTAAATGAAGCTCAGCAGTCAAACTTGTACAATTTCACTATTAAACCTATGGATCTGGCACTTACCATAACTCCACAGGTCACTAAATAGGTTGATCCTTCTCCAGTCGAGCAGGAGACCCCATCTCAGCCTCCAGAGAGCCATGAGGAGGTTGAACCTCCAACAGTCCAGCAGGAGGCACCATCTTAGCCTCCAGAGAGCCCTGAGGAGGTGAACCTACTCTACTCCATCAAGACGCCCCAACTCAGGCTCCAGGTCTCCCTACTGAGTATGTACGTGAAATTCCAGTGAGTGAAGAGGTGGTATCTCTACCTGGCGTTCAGCGTCACGCTCATTCCAACTTGCCCAGTGTTACACTTCAACCTCTGGATTTGGAACTTACCATCACTCCAGAGCCCACTACGGAAGCTGAATTTCCTACAGCTCAGCAGGAGGCCCTGACTCCACCTCTTCAGCATCCTGAAGGGACAGAATCTTCTCCAACCCAGCAAGAGACCTCAGCTAAGCCTCCAGAGCCTCCTGGCGAGGTTGAGCCTTCAAGGGAGCAGGAGCAACCAGCTCAGCCTTCTGA